AAATCATTGCGCTCTCAAAGCAACACTGCCAACACCGTCGAAATTAAAGTTCTTTCATTCCTCTTATTTTCGTCGATGGTATACCCTTTCCGACGTCATAGTCAGCTTTTGGACCAATCGTGGAAGGCCGACCACAGCGACGTTTTCGGTCGCGCACGCCGCCAATAGGGAGTATTCAGTGGACGCCATATATTTGTGGGTGCTGTTTAGAGCGCATGCTCAGAACAAGCTCACATCAATAGGCGGCTAAGACCGGCACTCTCGATGGTGCGGAATGTACGGTTGCAAAAGAACCGTGGAAGCTCGCCGTCAGCACGCGCTCAGCATTGGCGCACACAGCTATGCACCCATTCCGGTTTCGAGGTTGACGGTGAGCTTCGAGTGTAGATCTATAAGGAGTATTCACTGGGCGCCATATTTGTGGGTGCTGTCTAAAGCGCATGCTCAGGACGAGCCCCCATTAATAGGCTGCTAAGACCGGCCATTTTGACGGTGTGGAATGCACGGTGCGAAAGAGCCCTGGAAGCTCGCCATCAGCACGCGCTCAGCAGTCGCGCACACAGCTATGGCCGCCAGTGAACACTCCCTACAGAGCTGCTCGGGGCTTTGCACACAATACGTGTCTCGGCTACTCTTCAAGACTTCAGGCCAGTCTACGAATCCCAGTGGCAGAACCCAGAACGACGTCGTCTCCGTTATATTCCCAGAGCATCGCGTGCAATCACTGCAGCGAGTGCGGCGCAATTCTAGGGACTTTAACCGAGAAGCCCCGTGTTCCCTGTTTCCTCTCCCTCGGCTCATCACCGCGGCGGGCGCGACGTACCCTCGCGAGCTCCAGTTTTATCCAGTGCGCGATGAACCGCGTCCACGAAGCCCCTGAAATCAACCGTGACGAGCGAGGTGCCCTTTCCGCGAGAGTCTGGCGTCGCCTCAGCAATCCCCAAAGTTGGACGTCTTTCCCTGCCTTCAATTTCGCCTTCTGACATTTCACCCAGTAATGTACACGTTACACGAAAAAAGGAATCGATTAATATTGCAATTGCTCTCGGTTAAAAAGTGTTTAATTAAATGTGCTCGATTACTTGAAGAGATAAGTAATTGATTGTCATTTGAACAATAGTAACCGTTACTTTTCCGATTGCTTCAGATTTTCAAAATGGCGCGGCGCCGTGACGTCAGAGCTCAACCCTCTGACGTCACGGCACCGCGCTGCTGTAGGAATTGCGCATGCGCAGACGAATGACGCGAATGATGCGCGCGCGCGCTGCCCGCGCCCGGTGTGGGCAAACGCGCAGGCTCGTTTGTAAACAACGCGTTGGTAGCTTTGGATCGGGAACAGTCGTGAACCGACGCACCCTGGATAACAAGGCCGCGCTGGTGGGGTTTTTACGTCATCTACCGAAGGCCGGCGTGTTTCTGTGTCGAATCTGCTCCTCGCGCCGGTAGAGCACGTCGAAGATCCAGCAGTACGGCCTTGTTATCCAGAAAGTCCCCCTTCCCTTTCACTCGCTGTCTACCTCTTCCTACTGAAAAGAAAAAAAAAAAAAAAGTTTCCTTATTTTTTTTTTTTTTTTCTGATTTTCTCATTCTTACTTATTTGCTTTATTCCTTCTCCCACTGGTAGAAACATTAGTTTCGGAACAGTCCTGTCTGTTTGAGCGTTTTTTTTTTCGTCAATTTTTAGATTCCCGTTTTCATTTGGGAAAAGTTTTACTGCTTCTCCCCTTTCTCTTCCCTCTTAGTTATGATCACGTTCATCTCGCTCATTACCGCTTCTTCTACGGAAGATTGCGAATTCTTTTCCCCTTTGTGCTTTTTTCTGTTTTCATGGTTAAAGTTCCCCTCTCGCACTGGAGCATCATCCGATCTGCCTGCATAGTAGAATTTTTTTTTGTAACTCTCTCTCTCTTTCTCTTTCTCTCTCGGGACAACCGTAGGCCTCAGAGGTCTCGATATTAATAAAAACGCCTTCCCCATTACCACACTGGAGGAAAGTCGGCGCTCCCTCTTTTCTTATGTTCCCCATTTCCCTCACACTGAGTCACCCTTTCCCCGCGCACTATGGGGACGCCCCCTTTCCCTTCGGTACGTGTGCGTGGGTGGCTGGGGGAGGCCGCCGCTTTGGTGCGGCAACTCGGCGGTGTGTCGGAAACGCGGTAATGGCTTTTAAATGTTTTCCGGAGGCCACACCCGGCGCCCGGAAGAAAGTCACCTCCTCCCTTCTTTCCTCGTTTTCCTCCTTTTCTCCTCCGCTGTCTCATCATTTGCTCCCCCCTTTTCTGCCACTTTTCCGGTCTCGCCCTCTCTCTCTCTCTCTCTCTCTCTCTCTCTCAAGTTCGGGACTTTAGGCAGCAGCAGAATATATCCCGGTCCTTTTCCTTAGCCTATTTTAGGGATGCAGTCGTGGTCGCGAGGAACTCGAACACGTGATCTTGTTTCGACTCCGTTCGATGGCGATGTGCGTATAAAATAATATGTACGTTTAGTTATGCTTGTATATTAGAATCTTCAGACAAGGGTTTCTCCTGTCGCTAGCGGCAAACATCTACAAAAAAAGAAAAAGAAAAGCTTTTTTTTTTTTTTACCCGATTTCAGGTTAGGGGGACATAATATAGGGGCCTAATCGTCACGATATTTCCGTTGACTAACTAAAATTTGTTAACTGTCTTTTTAATTATGGAATATAAAGACAGGGTCCCAATCAGAAACGTGCAGAGCGTTAATCGAAAACTACGAAATAAATTTGCTTTAGAAAGGCATGAGGGGGGCGCGTGGGTGGCGCGGTGCTGAGCTAAAGCTACCACTCGTGCGACGCATGCAGTGTTGGCTGGGCGAAAATGCGAATGATGAGAGGCGGAAAAGCCGTGCGGGCGCCTTTTCGCGGCACTAGCTTCGCGCCTGCTGCCCCAAATCTTGCTAATATTTACCTATTTAGTGGTCTTTGATGACGCCCAGAAAGTTTCTGAATGACCCCATATCTTTATCTTCGATAATTACACACTTAGTCTACAAATCTTAGTCAGTTAACTGTCTTGTCGTGGCGAATGTTCCCCCCATATTATGCCCCCCCCCCCCCCCCCCCCCCCCCGGGCCGTATAACTCACTTGCAGAAACCAAAATAATGTGACTTTCAAGGTTTTTTTTTAATTTTTTTTTTTACGAATTTGTAAAGAATAAAAAAAATAAAATATATTAGGTGAATAATAATTGCCGACATTAAAAAGATTGGCTAAGTTTCGCATGAATCCACCCGATTTAAAAGCGTTCAGCCGAACGGATCCGTGGATTCATTCAGCGCATTGACACGAATCGGAAGCAAAAGGAAGGAAAGTACAAGAATGGCCTTCCGTTAGACTTTGGCTGCGCATGTGTCGAAGTGTTTTCAGAGGCAGAAAGCACGCGCTGGAGGTGATGCATGTATTGCATTCTTATCATGTCACCGACTAGGTGTGTTTTTGTACGGGATTCTTTGGATGATCCCTCTTGCCATACATTTTAGCGGCAGCCTGGCTCTTTGTGGTCCCGTCCGTAACTCGCGCTTTCGGTGGTTCGAAAAAAAAAAAAACGTGTTGCATCTTATTTTGTATAAGCTTCCGAACTAAGCTTTATAGCGGTGTTCTAGCAGAATGGGCGCGGATGTGAGTTTCTTCGAAAATAGCCGATTTTTTCTGAGATTTCTCCTTTCCCCCCGAGAGAAGAGTGTTATTGCTCTGATGCCTTTTTCTTGGACTGCTCCGGTGCTCGGTATTTTCTTTAGCGGGATATTGGTCCGGCTCGCGAAGCGAAATCGGTTTCTTTTCAGAAATCTGTTTTGTTCGTAGACGGTCGCTTCGCGGAGCTGGTTATATAACAGCGTTGCCACATCATCTGCCGAATCCCCTTTTGTTTATTCAGCGAGCCTTTGTTTTCGAGAAACGTCGATAACCTTCGTGATACCGACTCTATTATTGTTCCCTAAGAAACCCTTTCTGATTTCTACTAGCTAATTTTTTTAAAAACTTGTTCATTCTTTTTTTTTTTTTTTTCTGCTACGAGCAGCTTTTATTTTCGGGATAGTGCTATATAACAGAAGTGCGCGAGTGATATGAGAAATCATTGTTGAAACGCGCACATACCGTTCAGTGAGAATTTGCACGGCAATATATGCGCGCTATAAAGGCGAGAAAGCCCGAATTGTAGTCTAGCTTTGTTTGCGAGCTTCCTCGTATTAGCTGTGCGAAAGCGCCAGCAGGAAGGCACACGCAGCTGAAGAGGCTGTCTAGGTAAAATGGCTGTGCATACACGGGCGGTAATTTCTTTCCTTTATTTAGAGTTTTATCAAATTTAGGAGAATCGGAAAATGAACAAAAAATGAGCTCCGACACCTTCAGAGTTTAATTTAAAAAAAAATCTTTCAGTTTTTCTACTCTGGTGAAGAAGAAAGACCAGCGGAGCTGTACAGTGGAAAGTAATGGCCGGCCGCAAGTCGGCAAGCCAGAGCGGAGAGGCTGCCGCCATCTATGAGTGACGGTGGCAAACCAGATACGTGGCTTGCCGCCGTCGCTCATAGATGGCGGTAGGTGTCCAGAGTTCGGTGTCTTCATTTCTTTGCGGGGGACACAATCCAGGGGAAATTAGCCCTGAAAAGCTCCGCTGTAAAAAAAAGAAAGCGACGTTCGACGATACGGAACCATAACTATAATTAACCTGAAATCTCTCAAAATCACTCTAGTGTTCTCGAAATTACTCTTCGTTGGGCTGACTCCCGGCCGTCGTATAGGTGTTGTCATAATAATACGCCCCGGAGCGAACCTGTAGTTCGGGACCTGTGTTTCTCTTCGTTTCTCGTCAAACACGTCTGAAAGGCATTAATATATATATATATATATATACTGTGTGTGTTATGTACCCTTTCGAGCGTGTATTCGTGCCTCGCTCTCTGCCTCTCCCCGAAGGATACGTCGCGACGTTTGTTTTCCACGTCGTGCCGTATGTGTTTAACTCGGCGCCTTCTTTTGTAGGTCGTCCGGAGAACGCGGAGGAGAAGGTTCTCCTCCGGTCACGCGGCGGTCATCAGCATTCGCCGTCCCGCGGAGAGCAGAAGCGCCGGATGAGAGCGCCGGCCGCCGTCCACGACTGACCCCGTGAGTCTGATTGCGCGTAGACTCTCGCCCCTCTCCAACCCCCTCGTCGTTTCTGTTTCTTTATCCCCCCTCATCCATCGCCGCCGCCGCCGCATCCGTACTGCTATTTGCTGCGTTATTTTCGCGCCGATTCTTTTCTTTGTACGTGTGTGTGTTGGTGGTGGTTGGCGGCGTTCTGGCGATGGGAATGTTTTGTCGGTTGTATACGTCGTGGTTCTTCCCTTCGGCGCCCCCTCGGTGACGCCGGCGTGGAAGGAGAGCTTATGCTAATCGGGTTGCATAAGATCACGGACGTCTAGTCTTGGGAACGGAATCCTATCGGAGAGTCACTTTCTTCCCCTCTCGTTCTGTCTTTCTTTTCACGCTCTCTGACTTTGTGTGTATTCTTCATTTTGTTTGTCACTCGTTTCTAATCAGAAATGATAGAATGGAATGCGCGGAAAGAAAAGTCCCCCTCCCAAGAAGACAGCAAGGAAACAGCGCTGTTGTCTGTCAGCCTTCTTTTACGTTGTCAGTGTCGTTGTGCTGTTTGTACTTTTAAGAATGAACTGCCAACTAACACATTCATCTACGTTATTCAAGCCCCCCCCCCCCCCCCCCCCTACTACAAGCTGTGCATTACGTGGTTCCCGCGTGGACTGTCCGTCATCGAGTGGTCTATCTGGAGACGCCGGTATCTTAGTGAGCTTCTTCGACTGCGACGTGTGATTACGGTTTTTTTTTTTTCTTTTTTTTTTTTTTTAGGTTCGAGCACAGAGTTCGCGTTTGGCGAGATCCTTCCGGTATTTACGTCATTCCTTTTAGGTACGCGCAACAGTTGCAGTGATTTATGTGCTACGAAGAAGTCGGGCGCGCACCGAACAAAGCGCTCCTGTTACAGCTAAAGGAATGCTGTTCTGGGAGGCTTCTCTATTTTCATACTGCCTTCACGGGGCTCTTTTCTTTCCTTTCTTATTGCTTTGGGGGACGCTGCTCTCACTCCCGACGATTTCTCCTCATCGCCAAAGGGGTAGGTAACCGGTACGACTTGCGTGGAAGACGAGGCCTTTGCCCTCCCTGACGTCATCACGAGTGGACCCACGCAGCGCCGCCTTTAGCTTGCGTCGGCATCGCCTCCAGCGCATCTCGCAGCGCCTCGCAACAAGCGCGACGCTATCACGCGACGACGCCAGGACGGACGCTGTAGCTCGAGCTTCAGCGTGTTCGGAGCTTGGGGTAGGTCGGGGATCCACTAACGATGACGTAATGCGCAGGCCTTGTCCTCTAGCTGGTATAGACCGATCCCAGGAAACGGGCGCATCTATTTACATGTACCGAGCGGTGGGGAGAAATACTTCACGATTTTCGTAAGAAGGAAATAAAACGGCAACCTTCGTCGCTGTTCCTACTCTAAACGCTGATCGGAAATTCCGGTTCGCACTTTCCACTTTTCCCTCTCTTTCTCCTCTCCCCCATCCTACCCTGCCCACCGTTGCCTGTTTCCTCCTCTCCCCTGGTGAGGAAGATCTTCTGCCTTGCAGAATCTCGAGTCTGGTGGTCGGCCTTTAACAATGAAGTAAACTTTCCTTCGGTTTTGTACGTGGTCTTTTCTACCGCGTTGGTGCACCTATAGAAGCCAGAACAGAAAACTGTTTCGGCAGGCTCGCTCTCCAGAAAGCGCCTGGTGGTCAAGGTGACGAAGCGGTGAAAGTAGGTCGAAAAACACGCGATGAAAATCGCGAGAAGCGAGCCGGCTCTTGACCCACACCTACGCAGAAACTTCGCACGTTCCACGACATATAATGAGTGTATACTCTTTTATTTTGCATCTCCGAGGGAACATTACGCGATATTTCCTCGGCGCCGGAACATTAGGAGTGTGGCCACATGTGGTCGAGAGTGGTCGCAGGACCCGCGTGTTTTAAGTCGCACTGCTCATGCATTGTATACAAAAGTCACGGTCTGCAGACATGATGACGTCTGCGTATTCGTCTCAAGTATGTTCCAAGGCTTCGTTCATGCATCGAGCGTGTCTACAGGCAGTTTTTTTTTGTCTGACCAATGTGACCAGGAGCGGATTTAAAGGGGCGACTTCTTACGAAAAACACGACCGTATACACCGGCTTTGTTTATGAAGATATGTTTAGTGTTTGTTGAAATGACACTTAGTAAGTAGACAAAACACATCCGGCAATGCTTCGCGCGTAACGTCAAATCTTGATCCGTCTTTTTTTTCTTTTTTTATGATGCGTTTGCAGTGTGAGTGAGGGGATTCCTCAGGAATTGACACTAGTGTGTGTGTGTGTGTGTGTGTGTGTGTGTGTGTGTGTGTGTGTGTGCGTGTGCGTGTGCGTGTGCGTGTGCGTGTGTGTGTGTGTGTGTGTGTGTGTGTGGGGAGGGGGGGTGTCTAAGTTTTTAGGGGGAAGGAGCGGCATTGAGAATGGACGAGTCGTTGCGGATTAAGTTGGTGTATAGGGAAATCACTGGTTTGACCGCCGGCTTTGCGGCGCACGAAAGATGTAATCGGCGACGAGAGAGGGAGTTTCGCTCGCTGCACTTGCAGCACGTAAAGTCCATTCGCGCGTGTAGCGTAAGCGTCGGAACCTCGTGACCTCAATGATTGGTGCCTTCCCAAGGCGCCTATCGGTCGAAAGATGGGCCTTACGTGGACGGAAAATTAGGGCCAACGGCTGAGCCAACAGAACGAACGTCCCGCGTCCATTGGCCGTTGCGTCTCAACTCGCACGCGCCCGGCCAGTTCCTCGGCAGACTAATCGCGAAGCGATCGAGGTTGATGCATCAACCGGGACATCTTTCCCTCGAAACAACGGCCGTTGATTGCGCATTGTAACGCCTCCCAAGCTATTCAGAACCTTAAGACTGGGTACTCCGGCGGTTCTCGAGCTGCCCATACTCATTTCTGTAATGTGGATGTCGACTTTTCAGTTAAAACCGAGAAGATTACGGTTTTCTTATAAGCGCGAGCGTATATTTTCCTTTTTGTTGTTTGGTGGACGTAATCGTGGCGTGCCGAAGAAGGTCGACGTCTCGGAGGATCCGCTCTTCTTCCGCAGCCGGGTGCGCGGACGAGGAAGTGCCTCGAGCGGGGCGCGTATTTCGATTCAAAGCGAACGACGACGCAGAAATCATAAAAAGCGCCGGGAGAAAGAAATAAAATGGCCAAAGGTCGTCACCTTGTTCTTCCCCATCCCCCTCTCTCTTTGTTCGCAGTGCCTACTCTCTCTCTCTCTCTCTCTCGTCCCCGTTTGGAAGAAGAAGTCGAAGGTCGTGTACCGTTTCGTGTGTGAGCCAGTTTAATGGCCACTTCGTTTATTGTCTGCCCGCGTTGCAGGTTACCTTCAAGTCTAGCTCTGGTTTGGATTTAGGAGTAAAGGTTTCGGTTCGGTGTTTACCGAAAAACGCCGATATGTCTACGGTGAATTGTGTATCTCGTTTATGCCGGTGGGTAAGAGGTAATAAATATAACGTTTTGGTTATTTTTGTTCTAGGAATAATGAATGAAAGTTCGGCGCTTCTACAGCCGGTAGAATGGTGGGAATAGTGGAGCATAAAACTTGACTGCATCATGGCTGAGCCAAGGTCATCGAAGAACCAGAGTTAAAAGACAAAGACCACCCGAGACATTTCTGCTTAGAACTTGGAAGTGAGAGTTTTGGGTCCGGAGGCCTCCGAAAATCGTCGATATGTTAAGTGTACAAAGAATTATATACTTACGTGTATCGATGAAAAAATGAAGGTAATATCGTAATAAATATTAAATTTTTTAGACCACCTTTGAATACATAGTATTGTCAGTAAGAAGGGAGAGAGAAAAAAAATGGTTGGCCTTGAATTGAGCCCACAAAATGGTGGTATACCACCATTTGTAGGCTGTGCATTAATGCTTTCGGGTTAACACACGCCTGTTACCTAATAACAGCCGCGTATTACGTACACGACGAAGTACGCATTTCGGTCTATCGTAGAAAGAAGAAAAACAATTCAGTTTCTAATAAATTTTACACACTCGATAACAATTTTCAGTTTCTTTCTATAAATACGAAGAAAGAAACGTTTGGTGCCACCCGACCACACAAAATGGCAGAGAACGTAGTTCCGCCATTTTGAATTTAAGCTTCCCGGTAGCCGAGCCGAGGCGATCCAAGAATCCAAGACGTAGATCATCGAAGTAGACCTGTGCGCCGCCGCGCCGCGCCGCCGCCGCCGCCTGTTTTGCTCCCGCCGCCGTGCGCCGCCGCCGGAATCCCCAGAGCCAGCACGCCGCCGCCGCCGCCGCACAATAAATCCGGCGCGCCGCCGGCGCCACCGTCTTCCTTTTTTTTTTTTTTTTTTTTTTTTTTTGGTGGGGGGGGGGGGGGGGGGGGGGTATTGGTGTTGTTTTTTTTCTACTTCTGTATGAGTTTTACTTACTATATTATGCATAAAAATGAATAGATTTTTTTTTGCCTTTCATTTTTACTCCTGTAAATATATCAATAAATGTAGAAGTTCCATAAAAAATGGAGACACGGAACGATAAAAAAAACGAACAAAATAACAAGTCTCAAACACCGTTCGTTGTTTATTTGAACAACGAACGTTGTTACACATACCTCAAAACCCTCACCACCAAAAAAGAAACACCTACTCTTCCCTAGGTCACCGAGAGCCGGACACTCAGACAGAACCCATATGATTCATGATTCAGACATATCTAAATGATTCACACCAACCAGTCATCCTGATGACCTTGCTTGAGGGCTGACCAGCCACATGCGATAACAGGAAACTCCAGCTCCAGCACAGCCCTTACAATTTTTAGAAAACAGACACAAAAAACGCCTCATGTCACTGTCCAGTGCCAAGGACGGTGTGCTTACTCAATTACCAGAGGTCAAAATACGCATGGTCTCCCTCAGAACTCTCCTACCATTGCTGATTGTTGGGCGAGTTGGTATTGTGCGTGAGAAAACATGATTGCGCTTGAAGGCTTAGACAGAGGAAGAACACCACAGAGCGCT